CTGAACAGATAGACCTGGACATGAAGGGCTCTGTTTCAAAGGAAGAAAGGAGATGCCTCAGACGTGATGAAGAACAAGCTTAAAGGTTTGTTGCTTTTTTTTATTTTCATGCAAACATTCATTTGCAATGAGACCTGAGAACCAGACCATGTTTGTTCTCCAGGTGGGCATGCCTGGCCCTTCCCAGATAGAAATGATCCTGTAAAACACAGGATACCTTGACTCTCCCCACCCTAAAGCTGCTCAGCACCCTGGCAAAGATGTTTTTGCTAATATGAATCAAAATTCATTTGCATGATGCAGTATTTTTTCAACCAATTAATTGCTTATTTATTACAATCTGCACAGCATTGGTACCCAGAACTCCAGGTAACATCCCTTCCTCAGTGCCTGATCTGGTGAATGGAGTTTTCAGAAGGTGAAGATCTTCCTATCTATAGTCTCTTTCTGGGAGACCTTCCCTGGGGTGTGTTGCTCAGTGGGAACAACAGCCTTCCAGCTTTGTTCTGAAAGAGCACACAGTGCATTTTAGACCTGCTTTGAAGCACTAACAATTCCCCAAAATCCTGGGAAAAGCCTGAGAAATACTGCTATTCACTGGAATCCCAGCTTCCACGAGCTGGGACACATCCAGCTTCCATGCTGAAGCAACAGAGCATCACTCTGAGCAGGGAAACTGAGTCTCCAAGGCCTGGCTTGAGCTGTTGCATCAAATAGGTTCAGTGCCTTCCAAGAAGTTTGGTCCTGGTTGAGGACATCATCTTTGGTGGCCACGACATTCCTCACTCAGTACCACAATGGTCCCACACCATGAAACCACCCTCCTGCTTCATCTCACACCTCCACAGCAGCTCCAAGGTAACTCTGAGCAGGGATCTCTGCAGGTAACAGAGGCCTCCTGTGATGTTAGAGGCCACAGGAGGCAGGTCTCCTATCTTCCTATCATCTCCACATCTCTCCATATTTCTTTCCTGATACCTTCAATTCCTACACTGCTGTGTCCCTTCACCCCACCACAGGTTCTCCTGCTCTGCTCCTTATTATTTCCTGCACCTTCCAACACACCCTTGCTGCCCTGGGTGGGAAGATGGGCAATGCTGCTCATGCAGACACACAACCTGCTTTTCAAATGTGCAAGAGGTGAGTTAGGACAGTGTCCTCCCAGCCAGACACTCCTGTCCCTCCTCACACCAACCCACAGAACCCCTGATAAGTCAGGGCCCCCAAGCCCTTCACCTGCCTCTCCAACAGGATTGTGAGATTCAGCTTTTCTGGGTGGGGCCAGGGATGCTCAAAAAGCAGCTGGTGGCTGTTCCTGCAGGGAACAACCCTGAGCCTGGTTGCTGTGCCACTCTGAGGGGTGTCCTAGGACCCAGAGAAGACCTCTAGCCAGATGAGCAAGTAATGCACATCCCAGAGTGAAATGCCTGGCACTGAGATGAAGAAGAGGGATGTGGGGAGAGTGGAGGGCAGGTCAGCTCAGCCACTAGCCCAGCTGGCCACCAGCCTCTTCCCTGCAGGTGGGTGAGCAAGGCTGTGGCCTTTCATGCCTCATCCACACTCCTGCTCCCACCAAAAAAAGCCATTTTAGTGACCAAGTGATGTCCCTCAAGCTTTAGAGCAAATGCAAGCACCCAAAGGGTGGGGTGGGACCTGCCAGAGACAGGCTGGGCAGCAACCTGCTCAGGGTAACAGCAGAAACTGAGAAGCTAATTCCCTTCACATCCTTCTCTCCCAAGCCAAGGGACATCCAGTTAGAAGACTGGATGGTAAATCCTTTGCCTGGACCTCAGGGCCACCTCCATTCCCCAAGGAGAGCTGCACTGGCCATTCAATGAGCTGCAAAGTCCCTGGCAGCAGGAGGCTGGGAAACCTCCAGAGACATGATCATCAGTTGTCTGTGAATGCAAATGGATTTAGGCTTTTCTACTGGGTCATTTTTGATGTGCACAAAGCCACTGGAAACCCACAGAGCCAGAGATGCTCCCCAGAGGGTCTGTGCTATGGGCAGCACAGGGACTGGCTCTACACATCTTGACCACAGAGAAGTTCCTGGGCTGTGATGGCACCATGAAGACAATCAACTACCTCTGTGTATACAATAAGCAGAGGAAATCTGTGCCCCCATTTCTGGTTCAGCCATCAGAAGTGCTTGCTTTTCAAGCCTGCAGTTGTAGGTGACTGATGAGGGAGACCCCAGTACCAGGAAGGCTCCATGAAAAATGCTGAGCCCTGCTTGCTCCATGCAACAGGAACAAGAGCTCAGCCCCAACCTCCACACAACTACACCAGAATGGGAGAGAAAAAGTTGTGCAAACAAAAAAAAAAAAACCCTCATAAACTATCACTCCTAATCAGGATGCAGAAGATAATGGGAAACTGCTGCTGCTGCTGCATCCAGAAATCCTTGCACCTGCAAATGAAGGACAACAATAATTGGACAAGCCCAGAGGCAATGGAAATGATCCACAAGCACAGTGAGATTTATTCCACCATGGGGAGAATAAATGGGAGAATCAATGCTCCCCCCACTTCACCTGAACCCAGTAGCAGAGGGAACAAACAAGCTGTGCAATAACTTGAATTGAGTTTCTCTAAGAGAGCACAGGAAGATAAGACTTGACACCAGCAAAGCTCTTCTGTGCTTCCCCAAATTACTGCAATTTCAGTCTTGTTCTTATTTCCAAGCAGGTGTCATCCATCCCAGATAGGAATTAGATGGGAATAGTTTATGTGAGATACACAGACTCTACCACAAAACCAACCCCTAAGCCCCCACCTCCCCAAAAAGAGAAGAAACTCATCCTCATTTTTTTCAGCCTGGGGAGCAGAATTTAACATCAAACTTAGAGAAACAGCAGTAACTCTCACAAAAGCAAGCTCTGCACCACAAACCCAACAAACCTCCACTGGAGGTAGCAGGAAATGAGGCAGCAACACCAGAGGGAAGGAGGCAGGAGCACTGCAGGAGACCAGGAAAGGAATAGAACTACTACCCCCAGGCCCCCACACTGCTCAGGCTTTGCTGTCCAGGACACCCCACTGTTCAGCCACAGTGATAAGTCACCCACAAAAGGCTCCTGAGCTGAAGAAGGATGTGCACAAGGGCTGGGAGATCTTCCCTGCAGCAGGACAAGCACACCCAGCAAGGCAGCTCAGTGCAAAGAAACAGCTTCTCAGCAGCTTTCAGACTGACTCCTGCTTTCCCCAAGGCACCCAAGAGCTTTCAAGCCAAATAATAGAGGAAAAGAGGGGGAATAAATAAAAAGGAGAGAGAGGAAAAAGTAAAAATCCATTGACATCCACCAGTCTCAGCCTTAATTTTACACCCTGAGCTGGGCTCTTTGCAGCTGAACTTGCACTTTAAGCAGGAGTTTAAAAACACTCCACTGTGATGGCCTTGAAGAAAACACTGGGTCCTTGTGGGAAAATGCTACTGGATCTGCTGGAAACAGTGCCCAGGCTCAGTGCTGTGCCCACAGGTCCTGCCTGGCCCAGGGGGGAGCTCAGAGCTGGACAGATCTGACTGAGCCCTGGTTTATAATGGGCTGCAGTCTGTCCCCACCACTGCCCCAGGGCTGACACTTTTCATGCTTGTCACAGCTCAGAAGTGATTTTTTTTTCAGGAAGGCTCAAAGAAAATCCATTTCTCCTTTATTCAGGATTTATTTTGAGCTGCAGAAAAATGGTGCAGCTGCCATTCTGTGGTCAGACACCCAAGCTGCTTCTGAGCTCCACAACCTCTCGCTTGGCTCCTGCTGCAACAGCTCATTTGGGAGCACAAAGGGCCAGGCATGGGCCTGGGAACCTTAATTTCTGGGTCTTGGAGCTGCTGAAGAGACATAAACCAACAGTTATTGCAAAGCAATGGAAAAGGGGGCTGTTGGGCAGAGCAGAAGTGAGGCAGGGCCCTGGGCAGGTGCAGCTCTGGAGGTTGGTGCTGGTCTCTTCTCACAAGTCATCAGTGATGGAACAAGAGGGAAGGGCTTCAAGCTGCACCAGGGCAGGGTCAGACTGGACATCAGGAGGAATTTCTTCCCAGAGAGTGGTCAGAGCCTGGCACAGGCTGCCCAGGGAGGTGGTGGAGTCACCATCCCTGGGGGTGTTGGAGGGTGGTTGGGATGTGGTGTTGGGGGATGTGGTTGAGGGGAGAACTTTGCAGAGCAGGGAGGATGGTTGGGCTGGGTGATCCCAAGGGGCTTTTCCACCCTGAGTAGTTCTGTGATTCTATGATCCCAGAGGCAGCACAAAGCAGCCCAGGGATGGAATGGAGCACAGGGGCTCCCTGGTGCCACAGCTGCATAGACCTGCCACATCCCTCCTGGCAGCCCCCATGCACAGCACCCAGCAACCTCCCCAGCCCTGCCCCAACTGCCAAGGTGCAGAGGAGATAAAACCTTAAACCTGATGTATTTTTCTCATCAGGGCAATGAAGATATGAAAACCTAGTCCTTCCCAGGGCAGGCAGGCATGCTGAGAGCACTCACAGGTGATTGTAAGCCCAGGCAGGCTTGGGCTTGCTGCTACAAACATGAATAAGGAGCCACATCTCCCTCCTAAAGCCTCAGAGATGTTCAGTTCAACACCAGCAGGAGGGTCAGCAGCTAGAGGAACACAGGCTTCCCTCCATGAACATTTCAGAGCTTGTCAGAAAAGAAACCTTAACTTTCCAACTCAAGGGAATTCTCCTGGCTGCCATATGGGCTTTGTTCTAATAAAGACATTGCCTTGGTTTTTTAAAAGCAGAATGCCACCACAGCCCAAGTGTCCCATGGTCATATTAGTGCTGGAAAACAGTTCCACTCTCACGTTTCCACATCCTCACTCTGCACTGGCCAAAGCTTTTTCAAAGACCCTGCAGTGAGCAGCAGTGTGTAGTCAGCATCAGAACCTTCCCAGACCCACCACAACCATTTCCCAGACCCATGGTCCTCCTGCACCACTGCCACACCAACATGGTCATACCTTCTGCTCTGTGCTGGCTCTGAGCAGGTACAACAGCTGGTATCTGGCTACCTTTGTTCAGAGTATCCCCCCCCAGCATGAACCAAGCACCAGATTCAAATATCCCCTCCAACAGTAACCTGAGCATCACCCATCAGTGCTGACAGGTTCTGGGGTGGCCCATTGCCAGGAGAAGCTCTGTGGGGCAGCACCCATGGCCCCCCCAGGACACTCCCCACAAGCAGCTCTCCCTGGGCAGAGCAGATGCTCCATGACAAGAGGTCACCAAGGGCTGGGGAAGCCTATTTTGGCTCTCATTTACAAGTCATTACAGCTCCCAAAGCAAGTGCCAGAACCTGGAAGACAGCAATCAGTGCTGGAGCTCTCCTACAACACAACAAAGACACCTACTTCTTCACCTACACACACAAGCATCTTACAGATGCTTCTCTCTGAGGTGTTGCTGGAGGGAGCACGTGTTGCCCTTCAAACAACCAAGCACCAGAGCCCCAGTTTCCCATCAAACAACTTCCCAAGCAGGGCACAAACTATTCCAGCCCTCAACGTGATGAAGAAAGAAACCCTTTTAACCTTTACCCAAGTAAACACATCCACCTCCTTTGGAGAAGCACCCATTTCTCTGCACTCTTCTAGTCTTTTCAGCACCAGAAAGGGCCTCAGAGAAAACACTTTCATATCAAAGAAAGAAATCCAGATTACAGGGTTTGCTCTCTGCTGCAGTGGGAGAGAAACAAGATGATTATTGTTAATTGAAGGGCTTCACAGAAAGCATGATGTGAATGAAAGACATCAGTTTGTACCCAAAACCTTGTCTATAATAGGGAAACTGACCCACAAATCCCTTCTAAAGGTATCACCCAGCCTGAAGGGAAATCCAACAGCTTATTTAACACCAGTTATAAATGAAACAGTTGTTTTAAACCCAGTGGAGCCTCTGTTTTCATCCCATGCTGAACAGGAGTTTAAAGGATAAGGTAGCATTAGCAGGCAACTTTGTTCCCTTACAGATTGTCTTATCAACCTCCTGTCCTGAGCTGACACAGATCAGCTGAAATCACAGGCATGGGGAAGAAAAGTTTTCCTCACCACAGCTGCTGTAAAGTGCTGAGAGTGAAGCAACTGCAAAGACCAAAAGAGAGCATCACCCAGAGCCAAAGGAAGGATGTCCCTGCAGAAAAGGGCTGCACATGATGCCACTCCCAACCCAGAACAAGCTAAAAAGAGCAAAGCCAGAAGAAAAGATTCCCCCATCACAGGAGAACATGAGTCAATATGGTTGCAAAGAAGAGGCAATGCTGGGAGGTCTCACCTAGCTCCCTTGCTGCTCCTTTCTCCTCCAGAGGTGTAGCAAGCTCCTCTTCTGCACAGCCACCCCTATCCCTTGCTGCTCCTTTCTCCCCCAGAGATTAATCAGGCTCCTCTTCTGCACAGCCCCCCTGCTTGGCACAGGCAGCCTGAGCAAGACAGGAGCCTGAATCTTCCCAGAGGGATCTGGAGTCACTTGCCATCACATCCAGGTAAGATTTGCAGGAAGCTCCTGGCCAGGAGGAGGCCCATCTCCTCCTAGTTCTGCTTCTACAGTGGCAGGAGAAGGAGAAACTCTCTGAGGGAAGAGGATACCTGGTTTTCCTCCAGCAGGTTTTCCAGGCAGGGGCAGGTTATTGGCTTCAACATGATTTCCAAACGAGTTTGCTGCGTGGCCAGAGACCTTTCTCACTACCTGGTCCTGAGCTGAACAGCTGGTGAGGCCCCTGAGGAAGTTTTTACAACAGCCACATCAAACATCTGCAGACTACCTGCCACAGAGGTTACTTTGGTCAAATGGTGTTTCCTCAGGGGGAGTTTGCCACTGTACATCATCTCCAGCAAGAGTGCCAGCTCCTCAGGGGTGACCTCAGAAGCATCCGTGGAGATGGTGTCTGTGCTGCCCAACCAGGATTTCAAAACCAGGCTGGCAGCAGCCAAAACCACCTTGTGTGCTCTAAAATGGACATTCCCAACGAAGATGGTGCAATCACAGAACTGCTGGTCTTTGCAGAGAGTGCAGAGCTGCTGCAGCAGCTGGTTGCTATAACTGGGAATCTCCATGGCACCAGAGCCTACTGGCCTCCTCTCCCCATGGGCTCCACACCACTCTCACAAAGCCCAGCTAGGGAAAAACCAAAGGATTCTGTTAACACTTCACTCAGATTGTAGCAAGGCAGAAAGATAGAGGGAGCAAAAATTACCTTTCAGTTTATATTTCCAAGTATTTTACTGTGCTGCACTTCACTGGTCACAGCAAGAAGGAGCCACCTCCTGAACTCACCCTCCCCAAATTCAGCAACTTACCCCACTGGAGGTGAAGAGTCTAGATACTGTTCAAGTGCAAATACTTCAGAAAGGGTTTTGAAAAGAGCACTGAGTCCTAAGAGGTAAAAAAGGGAGACAAAAACTCTCTGATGCACCCCTGGCAGTGCTCAAGGAGGTGGGACTGCTCCTCAGATCAGGCACTGATGCTGAATTCAGTAGCTGGTTTCTGAAAGGGCAGGTGGGGAAGCAGGGTAAGAACCAAACACAGAAGAGGATCTGAGCTGTTGGTTTTGACCTGCAGAGCACTAAGTGATTTGGGGTGAGTTCATTTTCTCCCCACATTCCTGCCAAGATCAGCAGGGACCCAGGAGGGTTGGAGATAAGAGGTCTCCAGCACCTCCCTTCTCAGCACACCACAGACCTTACAGGTCTTTTACCCCAAACTGTGAACATCTTGTAGAAGTCCACAGCCCTGATCCCACCTGCCAGAGCCTCCCTTTTACTTCCCCCCCACTCTGCTACAGGAGAGACAACAACCAGGACATCTGCCAACAGAATTTTTAGCAGCAGGATATCTGGAGTTTCTATCTAAGCTGGACAAGATAAAGATGTTCCTGCCTTGTCTACACACCAGGATACCTAACAGTGGTGCTGACAATGATGCTGAAACAAAACAGCAGGAGTACTAGGTGAACAGCACCTGAAAGGACATGATTTACAGGACCTTCAGCTGCTTAACACCTTTGCTCTCAGCTTCTTACTGCCTTGTGGGAAGCAGGAGATTGCCTGTCATCAGGGAACAAGCTTTCATGAGCCAGGGCTCAACCTCACTGCCTTGCACAAGAGCAGGCCTGGAGCAGCTCCTGGCTTGCACACCAAGCTGCAAGCAGACCCTGGGTGCAGGCTGAGCTGGCATCTCACTCCTGCAAGGTGCTGATCCTCCCAGAGCTCAGACTTTGGGGAAAGTAGGGCCTCCTGCCCACAGGCAGGCAGGTCTCCAGCTGCCCTTCTGCATGGCACTGGCTGTGGTGGCTGTGGGAAGACAGGAGAGGCCAAGAGACATCACTTCCCACCAATGCTACAGGCAGCTGAGCAACTGGTTGGTGGCCACCACCCCTGCATGAGAGCTGTCCTGCCCAACCAAGAGACCCCCCCAGGCTTCAGAGATGGAGCACTGTGCAATTTGCTTTTCCACCATCAGTTTTAAGATGACAGATGGTTTGGACACCACCTCAAAGCAGAGGAGTTCTGCTGCCCCTCTGAATACTTGTGAACCAAAAGCACAGGGTTGATGGGTCCTTTTCTGGAAGGCAGGGAAACCAGAGCAGTCACTGATACCCCACCCTCCTCCTTCCCAGGAGCCAGAGCTTCTCAAGCCACATCACTACCAAAAGCTGGTCTGCAGCTCATCTCTGCTGCTTTGATAGCACCAGATCCCCTCCCTCAGCCATGCCCAGGGCCAGTCACCTGCATTTCCAGCCCAGCAAACGTGTGGGCTCCACTATCCTCCCACTCTGCTGCAAATCAGGAGTTCCCAAGCTGCCCTCAGGGGAGCTGCTGCCAGCTGTGGGAGAAGACACCCATTCCTGCTGCCAGGCTCAATGTCCCAGCAGCTTTAGTCCACCCACTCCTTCCCTGGAGCTGAAGGCTTTCCAGTAGCTGAGATGAAATTGGGTCTGCTGGTTAAATAATAGTAGCTGTGGCTCTTCCTCTGAAAGGATAAGCAGGAAACATCCATGTCCTGGAAGAGATGCCTCCTCACTTTGCCATGGAGAGCATTCTGCATAAAACCTCTTGCTTCCACCATGGCAAGCTGGAAGAAGCAGCAGCACCTTCTGCTCCCTCTATTCCTGGCAAGAATATGGATATATTTGCCCAGGAAAGCTCAAAGCAGGGTAGCAGCACCTCCCCTTCTTTATACAGCAACTTAGAGCTCTGGAAAACGTGTCCTAAGCAAAGGATGTTTGTTGAAAAACATTTTACTTCTTTCATTGTAGGGACCAAAAGATCCAGTAATGCCAAAGGGAAAAGGCATTTTCTAGTGAGAGGTGATGGTCCAGACCATCCTCAAGGCATCATTTCAGGCTTTGATTAAAAGCTTCTGGCCAGAAGGACCATCACCAGCAATCTGGTTTCTCATCCATCACTGCCTCCAGGATTTCCAGATCCAACAACCTGGGCTTGCCCAAAGCTTCTCTCCCAGCAAGGTGCCTGGTCGTGGGAAGAATTGATTTTTAGGAGGAGGACCCTCCACTGCCATGGGTATTCTGACTGCTAAACCATAGGCCTCCTTTCCTACCTCAATTTTTCTGGTTTCATCTCCCAGCCATCCTCTAGGTGGCTTTTAGGAGATGTGGCTGTGGGTCTGAGCTGAACTGGGAACCTCTCTGAGATCCTCTAACACTCCAGCAGAGCTGAGTGCTGCCAGAGCACGAGCCTCTGCCAGCACCACTGGGAAGAAAAAAGCCATTTACCACTTTTTCAGCTTAAAGCTGCTTCTCTGGGTCCTCTTTGGAGCTCACTGAGGACTTCTTATGAATTTCAAACTTAAAGCATGGTTGGAGCAGGCTGCTTCTGGCCTCTACCACCTGGGCCCCATGAGCACTGCCTTCTTCCAAAATAGGAGCTCACTTCAGGAGGGAGAACAAAGGAGACAGAGACACTTGCTCATCTGGGCTGCACCACAAACAGGCTTTGCAAAAGGCATCTTTTGAGGCCCATCAGGGGACATCTGAAGCCTTGTCCTGCCAGCTTCTCAGGTGGCTCAGGAGACTGCAGTCTCACTGCAGTTGGTGCAACAAAAAGTCAAATACTATCAGCCCAATTTTCAAAAGTGCCTAGAATTCCCAAGGCTTGACTTGGCCACGTGCTGATAAATGTCCTCCTGTCATCCTGAAGCAGCAGTTCTCACCTGTGACTGATCTCAGGACACTCATTCCTGAGCCCCTTCCTCTCCTGAACCTCCCAAGTACAAGAGGTCCAGAAAAGCTCTGCAGCAATCATTACCCACCACTGGCCAACTCCAGCTCTTTCTTTCTTTTCCCAGGTATTTCTGCCCTCACATTCTGTCCTCCACAGCTTGAGGGGACCATGTCTTCTTCTAAGCTACATTAGAACAGGAAAAAGATCCTCTGATAGCAACAACCCTTCTTCACAAGGAAGAAACAAGAACACACAACGTTCTACAGAACTGAGAAGGAGTTTCCAGATGAAATCACCTCCCTTCATTATTCATATCACACAGATAATTACCTTGATCCAGATTCAACAGACTCAAAACTACCCACACCAGTGGGTTCATCAAAAGCTAATTGACATTTAGGGCTCAGCACTTCAGTAATTAGACACTGCAGAGCCAGGGGCTCCAAAGATGCACAGATGAGGCAGTGAGGAGGTGGCCACAGTCCCCTCACACCCTCAGAAAGTCCATCACAAGTCCCAGAAAGAGTTTTAATGAGTAAAAGAATCTTGTGTGCCTCTCACTACCACAGCAAAAGGCTTTTACAAGGTGCTGGTCAACACAATTGCTGGCATTCATGAAACAACCCCAAAAGCTGCTTCCTGCACTGATTAGTAGCAGCTCAGTAGCCACCTTGAAGGTCCATTCCCTGCCTGAATTTCTTCCATGGGATGCACATGGAACAGGCTTTTTTTTTAGCTTTCAAAAGAATTAAACCAAAAATGTCAACCCCAACAATTATTGCTGCACTGCCAAGAAATGAATCAACACCATCACCCTGCTTTTGAAAGCACAAACCCACAGCTTTGTGCTCCCTCCACAGGGCAACCCAAGGCAAGGAAGCTCCCTCAAAATCACCCCCAAAAATCCAACTTCTCTGTGGAAGGAACATGCTGCTTCTGTTGGAGCTGAGCAGAGGGTCCCACACAGGCAGCCCCCCCACCCTCCTGCACTCTCAGCTAAAATCCAAGGAGGTCACTGAAGTGATCCTGGTCCCAGAAGGCTCCCCAGCCCTGGGAGAGGAGCTCCCCCATCCCCTCCCAGTTTGCACTCACTCAAAGGCTCCTTTCAAAAAGGCTCATTTCATCAGGGGAGGCAGCAGGACACAAAGCTGAGATTCATTCCCTCGTGTCCCTTGGGTATCACAGCAGCCTCCAAGAGATGGGCAACCTTCTGCTTTTAGCTCTGCAGAGTTAAAGGCAGTGACAGCCTTAAATCAGAGCCTGAACACTTTTTGTATCTGTTTACCAGTTTCCTGTGTTCTTGCTATTAAGATGATGACCTTACAAAGAGGGTTATTGGAAAGCCAAGAAAATCATGTCCTGCAATTCCATTTTCTTACCTCTCCCTCTAAACATAATTCAGTCTTTGAGGCATTAGAAGAGGCTGAGGGGTTATTACCTTCCTCTGGGGTGCTCCAGAGCAGGTACCTGTCCCAGAGGATAATGCAAAACCCAGCACAAGGAGCCAGGCTACACCAATTTGTTTTGCAATCTATTTGGTTTCAGTTCAGAGCATCAGTGTAGACAGATGAGGGTGGAAAATAAGCAACACTTGGGCTAAATGCAGCACTCTGTGGGCTCCCAAAGCAGCAGAAAATACCACTCAGGAAAGCACACCCCACTTTGGCTGCCTGCACTGGTGCTCTGAAGGGAAATATGACAGACTGAAAAAGCAAGGGGTGTGCTCCAACTCCTCACAGCAAGTTTTCCAGGACTGCTCAAAGCAAGGACTGGTGCCTCTCCTTCCTGAGACAGAGCTGCCCCAACAAGCCCACAAAATCATGCAGTGGAAAACCAGCACAAACCCAAAGCAACACAGTCATAGAATGGTTTGG